AAAAAAAAAAAAAAAAAAAAAATAGGAGAATGTCAACTAACTACTCTAATAAAAAGAGGGATAAGCCACCAGTTAATGGCAACGGTCACACATTTAACGAAGGAGCAAACGGCTCTGGTTCAGAACTTACTACTGCCTTTCCTAGCGTGAATGGGAATCAAATATATTCAAACGAGGAAGAGCAACGACAGTCACAGGGGCATCAAGAATCAACATCAAGGTACATCGCGAGGCCCAATTTTGGCTTGATCGACTTCACACTACTGGATACTTTAGGTATACTTACTTCAATAGCATTTTATCTCTTTCAGAGGAATTCTACTCGTATAGGTTTACGTACATTTGGAAAACAAATATTCATAATAGATTATTAGTTGGAATAAATTTTGAATCATAATAATGTTGGACTAAGATATTATTCATTTTGTCAGCACCTTAATTTAAAATGAATGAAATTATTGGATTGTTTATTATAGATTACTGATCTTTTCTTTCATGAATGAATGATAGGTACTGGGACGTTTGGCCGGGTGTATCTTACCAAATTTAAACACACAGAAAATTATTATGCAATGAAAGTATTGAAAAAACTTGAAGTTGTAAGACTCAAGCAAGTGGAACATATTAACTCGGAAAAGCTAATCCTCAGTCAAGTTCACCACCCATTCATCGTGAATTTGTGAGTTCATCTTATTTATTATTTCAATATTTATTAAGCAAATTATCAAGGAACTAGATTATGAAAAAAAACAAATTCAGGTTTTGCACATTTCAGGATGATCGGAATTTATATATGCTACTTGAATACGTCATTGGCGGAGAACTTTTTTCCCATCTGCGGAAAGCCGGGCGGTTTACCGCTGATATGACACGATTTTATGCAGCAGAAATCGTTCTTGCTATTGAATATTTGCATTCTAAAGATATAATTTATCGAGATTTAAAACCAGAAAACTTATTATTAGATTGTAGAGGCCATGTTAAAATTACGGATTTTGGTTTCGCAAAAAGGATCGAGGATCGGTAAGCAATATATGCAACCTTAATCACATATAAGAATATACCCTTGCTTAATTATTTGGAATTCAACTTATAGTACCTGGACGTTATGTGGCACACCAGAATATCTGGCGCCGGAAATTATTCAAAGTAAAGGTCACGGAAAACCCGTGGATTGGTGGGCGTTAGGAATTCTAATATTTGAAATGTTAGCAGGGTAAGAAAACAGTTATATACATACATATATATATATATATTTAAAAAAAAAAAAAAAAGTTTTTATATTAACTGAAAATTTTGTTTTAGGTATCCTCCATTTTTTGATGATAATCCATTTGGCATTTATGAAAAGATTCTTGCCGGAAAGATACAATTTCCATCGCATGTTGATGCGAATGCTAAGGATCTCGTTAAACGTCTACTAACATCTGATCGTACGAAGCGACTGGGTAACCTTCGGGGTGGTAGTGAAGATGTGAGGAAGCATAAATGGTTCCGTGGTGTTGATTGGCAAGGATTATACGAAAGACGTGTACAAGCACCGATTGTTCCACCATATCAACATCCAGGTGATACTAGCAATTTTGAAAAATATCCTGAACCTTCAGATGAAGAAAATAATGTTAGTAATTCAGGTATCTTGCCGGGCGTTGATCCTTATCGACATTTGTTTTTAAATTTTTGAAGTGGATCATCAAATTCAAAGAAAAAATCAATCAAGAATGCAAAAGTCTACACAGACAGACATCTATTGTTTCAATTAATAAGATGACAGATTCATGCTACATGAAATGTGAAATAAACTCTCATTTATGTACGCATAAAGAACTTTATTCCTTGTCCAGTATCTTGTTTTTTTATGATTTAATGATTCCTTTCTCCTCGTTTATGATCACTGAGTATAGGTATTTTTCATGACCTTTATCTCCAATCGTAAATAATGGTGTTCAATGTTCTCGTCTTTAATGCATCATTTACACGCGCGCTATGATGGATGCCTTTTATTATTGTCTTTTTTTTCTTTTTTTTCTTTTATTATTTTATTGTTTTCCTAATCGAGGCAACAAAATATCTCACGCTGTGATGCACTCTTTGGTGGATGGGTTTAACTAGGGATTGGAATCGGGTTAACCGATTAAAAATATGTATAATAAACTATTATGTTTAGTCGACTAATTAGGCGACTAAACATAATTGTCGACTAAACCGATTCCAATCCCTAGGTTTAACGGTGCTATTTACGACGAAGCTTATGGAACGCCACGGATAATAAGATCGATCAAAAAAATTTTTTTTCAGATCCTATATCACAAAAGTTTGAGTTTTGGATGTATGTTTATCACTTCTTGCATTTATTACTTTGTAAATTTTTTTTTTTTTTTTTTCCTATTCACAAACTTTAATAATGGTGAACTTTCGCTGTTGGGCTTTAGAGACGTGATAACATATAATATAGGGTGACTATATTGGTTGAATAATGCCTATTATAGGAAAGTAATTTTTACCTCGCTTTAATATGCGTAACAGCAAATAGAATACCTCTGTTTCATCACTGAATAATTTAGTAATCTGAGTACGTACGTGACTGAAATGATTTCATTCTGTTCGAGGTTTTAACTCACTTATCCATTTTTTCATGCATGTTATTGATTTGTAACCATTAGATATGAGAATCTGATCTCATAGTCTCATAATAAATTGCATAATTTTCAATCTGACATTTGGGATTGTGTAAGCAAGAATCTTGTTTGCATAATATCAATATTTATATGATTCACGACATTTTTGAGATCAAAAATTTAATTCGCTAATTAAGATTTGTTACATATTGAAAAGTGATGAATATTACTCCATAAATTTGTATAAGAAATATAATAAATATAGTTACGTAGCAATTCGGTTTATTCTGTAATACCAATACAGTTAAGATAGCATATATAGAAGAGATAAGTAAATCACATGTGCAAAAAATTTTATTAACGATTTAATAATAATAATTCTTAACTTTAACCCTTGATATGTATATGTGTATGAAGTTAAGTATGAAGTCCCCTCATAAAAAAATAAAACGGTTATTAGTGATTGCATGTATATATCATTAACCGTAAAAATTAATTATTTCATAGATAATATACAGTATAGTATTAGTGCATCAATATATTAGCCATTATATTAGCCATTGTTATAATTAGATTATCATTATCTGTTATTGTATTACAATTTATATCAGATACATCAGATTACGTATCATATTGGTCCTATTACGTACAAAATATATAATTACTTTTTATAGTTATTTTAGAAGTAGATTAAGAAATTGGTTTCACAAGGTGTATGATAGATTATGATAGATATACAGTCAGACCTCGTTATAGTCACTCTTGATATAGTCACAACCTTGTTATAGTCACACTATTTTTTAGTCCTAGACATTATAAAACATATAAAATTGGACCTTTATATAGTCACACTTTTTTATAATCACCAAATGTTTGTTTCCGAAACTGGTGATTATATCGAGGTCTGACTGTATGATGTATAATACATTGTTCTTTCAAGATTTACTTTGGAAAATGGTAATCCCAGAGCATAGGATTTTTATAATAAACTAGACTTATATATATATATTTAATATTTTTTAGTACAATTAAATATAGATCCCACACACTTAAATTTCGTACTGTATCAAAGGAGCGGTTAGAGATGTACCTTACGCGAAATGATAAATAATTACACCTGCGATTTATACAAAATGACATCATTTTCTCATGCGAGATAAAATGATCGATTAAGGAATTTTAATTATTAGCGATCTGTCAAATGTAAATTCTTTTTTTAATAAAGAGGACTGGAGCAGAATGTAAGACCTTTCTAAATTCAGTCAATTCCTACTCCTGGAATTATGATAAATTTGGTTTTAGTGTATTCTCTGTAGCGGTAGAAATTTAATCGGAAATCCGATTAATAATAGTTAGTTATACGTAATAGTTTTATGAATTTACTTCGCCTCTGTAATTTTATACCGGGTGTTAGAAAAGTCACTAAACAACCTTTTTTTTTTAAGTGCCCTTATTAAAAATTACGATGATTATTTATCGTTATTATCTATACTAAAAAAAGGGACTGTTTAATGACTTTTCTAGCACTCGATATATTTATATGATGAATAAAATACTGTAGATTAAATTTAAATGCACCTAATTTGAAATAAATCATAGTATCTCAATTAAAGATTTTGTTGAAATTAAACTAGAGTGGTGAATAATTTCACAATTTCACCAATTACAATCAGTAATGGTGTAATTGCGTAATTGTTGGTGTAACCGGCAAATTCGGTGAATTGGTGTAATTGGTGAAAATTGAAATGGTGTGAAACGCAAAATGATAAAATAGTAATTAATCAATAAAGAGGTAAATCACGGTTAAGGGGTATAAAAAAAAGTTCGTACGTACGTAGTAGAAATTGTCGAAAGTTAATAGGTCTTTTTATAGGGTTGGAATGCAGCTAGCTCAATTTCTATTTTTTTTCATCTACTTGTAACTATCCTGATTCTATATGGTCTAGTTCTTCTAATTCTTTTTTGGCTTTTGTTTATGATCTGTTGTCTACTTTTTTGTAGAGCTTGATTTTATTTAATTAGATTTTTTTTAGCTCTAGGTTTATTTTTTGCTTTAGAATAATTTTTATATTCAAGTTATAATATTTTATTTTTTTTAATCAGCTAGTATTCTTTTTTAAGTATTTTTAGCTTTTTGTTTTTTAGAGATTTTTAAATATTTTATTTTTATTTTTTTTTAATTTGGCATTGCTGATTTTTAGCTATTTGAATTAAATATAGTATAGCTTACT